TCTCAACCCCTCAACACACAGTTAATTCCAACCCCATCAAACACCTCCCCTGAGCCATCCATGACCCCCCTACAATCCCCCCTCTCCCCACCACATACCTCTACTCCCAACCCCTCACTGAACCCCAACACTGAAACCCCTATCCCCAATCATCAACTTTCTCCAGAAATGACACCTACCCCCATTTACATAGCAGAAACTGAACTTGAACGACAGGCTACCATTGACCTCATCATCCATACCATTGAAGAAGAAATTTTTAACATCTGCAAGAGAGGATCTCTCTTATATCAGTCCAGAGATGACCTTGACATCAACCCCCCCCCCCCAAATTACACAACCACCTTTCTCTCAGATGATGAATCTTCACACCTGCAACATGACAATAATCCTGAACAACACCGCCAGAGAACACCATCAGAGCCCCTGCAACATGAATCTGACTCTCAGAATTTGGATGTACAAAGAGACACTCATAAGGAACTACACACAGCTACTGCCACAAGGAAATCAAAAAGAATACAAGCAAAGCAGCTTTCAGTCAGTCCCCTAAACACTGTTTCCTTATGAATTGCCTGTTCTGGAATGTTTGTGGAATAGCCTCAAAATTACAGAGACTTGCCACAATTGTTATGGAGCACAAGATCAATTTCATCACAATCATTGAACCCAAAAGCCACCCTAACAAAATCACAAAGTTTCAATTAGATTTGGGTTTCACAAATTCCATACAGAGCTCTAGTAATAGAATCTGGATTATGTGGAAAGATTCACACTACAATTACATCTCTCACTCTGACCAGGGTCAACTCCTAAGCATTAAGATGCAGGACAAGCTTAACAATTTCAACATAACCATAAGTGGAGTCTATGGTAAACACACCATAGAAGAAAGGAAACATCTTTGGAAAAATATTCAAGAAGCCAGCAAAGTTATGGACTGCTCATGGATTGTGGGTGGAGACTTCAATGCCATATCTTCTATTGATCACCATAAAGGAAAAAGCTCCCCATATCTTCAAAGTATTGAGGATTTTGATCACTGTTTAATAGAGAGTGGCCTATTTGTCCCCCCTTTCACAGGCAGCCCTCACACATGGACTGGGGTTAGGTCCTTGGGGAGAATCTGGAGAAGGCTGGACAGAACCTTTGTCAATAACTCCTTCCTCAACCACTTTCAAGATATTCACATCCATCACCTTCCCAGAGGATCCTCTGACCATTGTCCCCTTAAACTCACAGCAAACAACCCCTCCTACGATGGCCCTAGACCCTTCAGATTCCTAAACTACTGGACTGACCACCCCACTTTCAGGCAAACTGTGGAAGAAAACTGGTCGCCTTATAAAGGGGGGGATGCATGGTCTTATGGAGAAACTCTGGATTCTCAAAGGCCAGCTACAGAAATGGAACAAGTCAACATTTGGAAACGTATTCACCAAAGCCAAAGAGATGGAAGAAAGACTCAAAGAAGCTAAGGAAATTTTTGACAGTGATCCTAGTACAGATAATAGAATCAAGCTTCATCACAGCAGGGCACTGCATACCAAAGCCATCAATACTGAATTCAACTATTGGAAGCAGAAAGCAAGCATAAAGTGGCTAAAAGAAGGGGACCGTAACTCCTCATTCTTCCATAACACAGTCAAGGAGAAAAGATACTTCCAAAAAATCCAAAGGATTAAATCCTCACAAGGGCAGTGGCTGGTGGATCAAAATCAAATGTTGGAAGAGGCCCACTCCTTCTACTCCAATCTCTTTTCATGGAAGAAAAGTGATAAAATTGACACTTTCACCAGTAACATTCCAACCCTAATCACACATGAGGATAACTCTTTCCTAGATG